ATCACAGTAAAGAATATGTATAGCATTCAGTATTTGTTGTAAGTAGAGAGCAGAGTAATGTACAGAGGATTAGAATTAGCCTCTCAAGAGAGAGACATTCTACTTAAATACATTTTGTATTACTTCAAGATCTTTCTATGAGATACTAAATAAGTCTGGATCATAATCCAAGTCAGCTGCCACTGACTGGCATTGTATCTTTGAGTACATTCTCATACTCACTCAGAATTGCTATTCCAACACTCCCTCTCAATTCCAAGTTCCTAGAATACCTGCAGATAGATACTCATGTAATAGTCTTGGTAGGCCTTTAGTGAATATATCTGCTAAGTTCTCCTCTGATGTGCAGTGCTGAACTTTGACTTCATTTGAAGCCATGCACTCACAAACAAAGTGGTGCCATATGTCTATATGCTTCGATTGAGCATGGAATATAGGGTTCTCAGTGAATTTGATTGCAGATTGGTTGTTGATGAAAATAGTCATTGCTTTATAAGGTGGCAATCCTAATTTGGTTAAGAGTGCTCATAGCCAAATTACTTCCCAGGTTGTGTGTGTGAGGGCCATATATTCTGCTTCCATAGTGGATAAGGCTATAGTGGGCTGTTTCTTTGAACTCCAAATAACAGCTCCCCCTGTATAGGTACAGACATAACCAGATGATGATCTTCTATCTGTTCTGTCTTCTCTCCAGTCTGAGTCTGAATAAGATATTAGCTCATCCATAGTCCCTCCATATGTGATTCTGAAGTCTAGAGTTCCCTTCAGATAGCAGAAAACTCACTTCAAAGCTGTGACATGCTTAGCAGCCAGATTCTGCATGTACTTGCTTAATTTGGTGACAGCATGTGTAATGTTGGGCTGGAATCCATTGGCCACATACATTAGTGATCCAACACCAGTATGATAATATTGCCTGGTGGCTGTATCAATGCCTCATGAGTCTTCTGTCAGAATTTTCTCTAGCTATACATTTGGGTCCATAGGCATTTTGACCGGTTTGCAGTCATTCATGCCCATTCACTCAAGTACTTTGAGAATATATGCCTTCTGAGATAGAGTGATAGTGCTCTTGTCTCAATTTCTGTCTACCTTCATGCCTAATATATATTGAATCTCCCTCATGTCTGTGACATTTAGCTTCTTCTTAAGCTCTTCTTTTATTTTAGACATGGTTTCATCATCTGGGGCAAGCAATGTCATGTTATGGACATGTACAGCTACAATTATGGGACCAGAACCCATTTGTCTGATGTACACACATTGATCACTAATCAATCTGATGTATCCAAGTCCCAAAAATATAGCATTTAATTTGTCATTCCAAATTCAGCCAGATTGCTTGAGTCCATACAATATTAATTTGAGGTGTGCCACTTTTCCACTCCCATCTGAATATTCAGGTGGCTGTGCCATGTAAATGGATTCATTGAGTTTACCATTTAAGTAAGCTCCAACAACATCTATTCCATGAATGATTAGGTTTCTTTGAGTGGCAATTGCCATGAGTAGGCAGAATGTGTCCAGCCTGACAACTGGTGCATATGTCTTGAAGAAATCAATGCCAGATACCTGTGAAAATCCTTTTGCAACAAGTCTGGCCTTATACCTGATGATTTTTCCATCACCATCCCTTTTCAATCTGTAAGTCCACTTGCAATCCACAAGTGATCTGTCTTTGAGTAATTCTTTCAGCTGCCATATGCCTAGGGAAGTTAATAGATTGTATTCTTCATCCATTGCTTTCTTCCAATGATGTCAGTCTGGCCTTGTCTTGGCTTCTTCAAGGCTTAATGGCTCATCACTGAGGTTGTCTGCAGTTTCCACAATGCATGCATAGTCTATTGCAATATTTATGGCTTTCAAAGATGGTTCTTCTGAGGTATGCTGTTGTTCCAATATTTTCACAGCTCATGCACTTGGATTATGAAGTGTCTGGTAACTCAGTTGTCTTTGATGCAATCCAGACTGATTTGTCATGTGGTTCGATCACTTTCCCACACTATATTGGGAAATTTGATTTGATCGATGACACATTAGGGGCTATTTTCCCTTTTGGTTCAACATTTTTGGCATCCACAGAATCATCTGAAATGCCATCATTTTCATCTGGAGTCTGCTCAACTTTGCTTCTTGACTCCCCCTCAAGTGATGAAGGGTGAGAGACTACATAGTAAGTGTCTATAGGCTCTGTAGTGTTGTTTTCAGAGAATATAACATTTCTTAAGATCTGAATCTGCCTGATTTGAGAGTTGTAATATCTCTAGGCCCTGGATTCATCTGTAAGACCTGTGAAAATAAATTTCCTTGACTTTGGGTCCAGTTTTGACCTCTGGTTATCTTGTTGCAACACCCAGCACTTTACTCTAAATTCCTGGAGTGCTGAAATATCTGGTTTCATGCCCTGAAACACTTCTTCTGAGGTTAGATCATTTTTGATAGCCCTGGTTGGTGATCAGTTCTTCAAGTATGTGGCATATACCACTGCCTTAGGCCATAGAAACTTTGGTAAGTGATGTTCTTCTAGCATAGCACATGCATGCTCCACAAGAGTCTGATTTATTCTCTCAGCAACTCCATTTTGAGATGGGGAGTATGCTACAGTCAATTCCAACTGTATGCCATTGTTCTGAAGGTATTCCTTTACCTCTTCATTGACATATTCCTTTCCATTGTCAATTCTCATAAACTTCAGATCCTTCCCTTTGTGGACTTTGATGTATTTTTGATACTGCTGGATCTTCTTTTGAATTTCCATATCTTGCTTTGACTTTAAAAAATACAACATTGTCCTTTGGGATTTTCCATCTGTGAAGCTTATATAATATCTTTCACCATGAATACCCTGAGTTTGGGCTGGCCCCCATAGATCTGAAAATGTCATTTCCCCTATTTCAGTATAGTCCCTTTCAGCTTCCTGTGGAAATAGCTTGGTATGATGTTTGGCTTTCATGCAAGCTATGCAATCTGTCTGAGGCTTGGCTGACTCATCTATGTCCATCCTCTTGACCATTTTCTTCCTAAATAGTCTCTTTACTGATCCCATATTTAAGTGGCCTAATATTTTGTGCCACTTTTGCTATGATCAGGCTGATTTTATAGCATGGGCCTGGGTTATTTCTGGAACAATGATGTCAAGGCTGTACAGCTTTGATATTTTATCTCTATGGCTGATTATCTTACCATGTAGTGAGATAATATCTATTCTGGACTCTTTGAATTTGAGTTCAAATCCAGCATCTGTAATGCACCCTATTGACATAAGATTGAATGGTGCATCAGGGCAGTGGATACACTCTTTTAGTGTGACTGGAGTGATCTTTTCTCCTTCAACCATTTTAATCTTGACAGTTCCCCTTCCCAAGCCTTTGGATTTGCCTACATCAATGACTTCATGTTCTGGGGTTTCAACATAGTCAGAAAAATATAATCTATTTTTGACTATATGTCTGGTAGTGCCAGAGTCTCCTAGCCATGATACTCCTGAGAGTGAGGTAAGTGCAATGTCTGTTGCACAAAATATGTAGTCTTCTTCTTCTGAGTCCAATTTGGCAACATATGCCTGAGTCTGGCCCTTTCCCTTTCCTTTCCATGACTTTCCAGAATTCTTCTTCCCATTTGGGCAATTTGTCCTGATGTGACTAGTTTTCCCATATCTATAACATGTGACTTTTGAATTGGACTTCTTGCCATGTGCTGCAAGTGTTGTAGTCCAATCAGAAGTCTTTTCCTTTAATCAGATGTCTTTCTGAAGAATTCAGGAAATCAACTTGTAAGAATCTTTCAAGTCAGCAGTATCCACTGATGAGATGAATGAATCCCATGATTCCAGGAGTGATGTAAGCAGTGTGATAGAGAAGTCCTCCTCCTTGACTTTCTGCTTAAGGGATGCCAGCTCCTCCTGATAGGACCTCAAAGTCCTAATATGCTCCTCTATGTTTCCTCCTTCTTCACACTGAGCTCTGAAGAATTTCCTTCTGACAAGGACAATTCCCATGGGTCCCCTGGACTCATACATATCTTTCAGAGCTTTCCAGGCTTCTGCAAAAGTCTTTGAACCAGCAATATATACCAGCAGGCCATCTGAAACCCACAATCTTATTGTTGAAAGAGCCTTCCTATCACTCTTCTTCCAATCTGCCACCAGTGTCATGTCTGCCAGGGCTGGAATGCTTCCATCTGCATAATCAATTAGTCCTAAATCAGTTAGGATATTGATCATCTTGATTTTCCACATCGGATAATTTTCTGGGCCCTTAAGGGGGTCAATTCTATACATGGACTGGCTATCCATGTGGTTCTACATGTGTATGCAAAGTACAAAAGGGTGCAAAGTGAGTAGCGATGTAAGTTCAGTTATGGCCGGGGCCTATAACCTGTTGTAAGTAGAGAGCAGAGTAATGTACAGAGGATTAGAATTAGCCTCTCGAGAGAGAGACATTCTACTTAAATACATTTTGTATTACTTTGAGATCTTTCTATGAGATACTAAATAAGTCCAGATCACAATCCAAGTCAGCTGCCACTGACTGGCATTGTATCTTCGAGTACATTCTCATACTTGCTCGGGATTGCTATCCCAACAGTATTCATATGATAGTCATCCATGAAACAAGAATAAAAGAGTGGCATCAGCATGTTATGCTGCAGAGTGAGGTTGTTGGACAACAATGGTGTGGGAAGCATGCGCTGTGAAGATCGTGAAGGTGTGAATGGTCACGATCGTAACAAGTTCTAGCTGTATATAATTATAGTTCAAGTAGTTTGAACATGCTCATAAATGCGGAGACGGTCAGCTGCTTGTCGAACATCTCTAGCCTGTGAGGCGTATTCTCGACAATTATCCTCCATCCCAATACAACAGTTCATCTGTGGACCGTGGTCCACCCGATTTCTCTACAGTTCCAAAGGCATCGGTGCGGGTTGACAATTCAGTTCCTCGCCCGTAATTTTGATCTTATCTTCTCTTCACATCCATGTTCGTGTCATTTGTCTCGCCCCTTGCGCACCATGTCGTTCCGCTGAATCGAACTAGAGAGTCGCCTTACATTTAGCGATGACAGTACCGGTGTGCTTAATGCAAAAACCTTTTGAAAACAAGAGCGTCTCTGCGCATGAGATGCTTATTAATAGTTACACTTCACTAGAAAGGATACCAATGAAAGGCCTCGACGAGAAATGGATGCAGTAAGGTAAGTATAATCATCGTATCATAAAAATGGCAAAGCTATCTTATCATAACCATATTCAACCACTTGTTCTCCACCGCTTCGACCAACGTGACTCCTGACGAATCCGATGGCGAAGGGGACACAAGAGAACGATCCTCATATATCTCTCCCTCCTCTAATTCTGGATCGCTGTCGCTCTCCAAGTCCATATCGCACTCGCCCATCCCATCGCTATCTTGGGTCCATGGTACGAGTGCCGGCACTGACACAGGAACACGGAGATAAGAAGGGGAAGCCGGAGCCGGAGCTTCCTCCCCCCTGATTGCCTCTGCCGCCGCCTCCGTGACGTGTACCTTCACCTCCTCTTCCTTCACCTGCGGCTCCATCGCATCCTCAACCAGCGGTACCAGCACTGCAGCATGATCCCGCAGCGCAGGCTCCAACACCTGCAGGACGGGTTTGAGACCATCTTCAGAAGAAACTGACAGTCGCCTTCGCTTCGGAGTCGAGGCAAGGTATTGAAGTTCGTCACTAGCCCGCGAGCTGCTGCAGCTGCTCTCACGCGAATACGGGCTTCTTCTTCCCTCCCTCAACGGGCGCTTCATGCTCCTTTTCAATTCATGCAGCTCCTGCCGGATCTCCTCCTTCTCCTGACGCTCTCGGACGAGAAGCTGGGCGCATGAGGAACGGATGGTCGTAATAATGGAGCGTATCCACGGGTTTGACATGAGAGATATGGGGATATGCTGCGGCTGGCGGACGGATGGTGGGATGGACGGTAGAGCATGTATACGCCTGTGCAGAGGCGGCGGATGCAGAATAAGAGTTTGTTGATCTGAGAGATGCCGAGGTGCTGGATGGAGATGTTCTTGCATATTGAAGCGCGCCAAATTCTCGACAGTAAGTGGGCGGGGTTCATGAAGAGGTATGGCTGACGGTAGAGGTTTCCTCTCCATAAGACAGAGACGTGGTAGTGACTGATGTGAGGACGAAGGTAGGGAAATTGGCGGAGGAGCATGAGGGTTGGGTTCCATGACTACTGGCCGCTGTACTTCGTTTCGTGGACGGTCCAGGTTATACGTCGGTTTCCGCGGAAGTAATGGCGGACGATAGTCGCACATGTCCACATCTGCACTGAGACGACGTTGTGGTTGGATGCGACTGTTGGGCAACCGCTGGGACTGCTTAGATTTCGAGGACCCGGCGTAAACGTAGTCGAACGAGTCAATCTGAGGGTTCAGGGAATCGTCATAGAAGCGTATGCATCCTGGAAGGACCTAGAAATGATTGAATGGGATTTTAAAAAGAATAATGAAAAGACCGACCTGCTCAGAGTATCTGACTGTCATTATTGGATTCGTGATACACGAGGAGCAGGCGAGAGGCTTGCGGTCGTACTTCGAAGACTTCGGAAGGGCTTTCGTCTGTGCGCGCATGAGTACACTGTGAGGGTAAAGGAACGAATGAACACACACTAGGACTCTGTATCGTATTAAGGACAGCACTGCTATCCATAAACTAGGGGGGTCGAGTATTCTCTCCTCTACACGGACCAGCCAGAGAACGGAAGCAGAAATCGCGTTGCACAGAAGTCAATTGCTTGGGCTTTAGTACCCATGCTGAATTCGGTCGCATTGATTTCAGTCGGCCCGACCGAACAATAGGACAATGAGCACTAAGCTCCCATCAGATCCCTGGTTCCCAAGACAAAAAGCCTGGAGGGTTCTCTATACATTTGACGTTATAGCAAAGGCAAGAAAACAATTAAAAGGCAAAAGTACGTACATCGGTGACATTGTCGTTCGCGTAGGAAGGAATCTCGAATAGGAAGGTTGGGTCCTGCCTAGTGTCCAATGGGACTTCGTTATTATAAGAAAGATCGAGGTATTCCCATACATAGAGTCCAAAGGATCCAGCTGCTATCATGCCTGTCAGGCATACAATGCGCGCCATTGTCCAACGATCCCGTATGCGAATTTCCTGTTGCTGCTGGATATGTATAATGCAGCAGGCCGAGAACTTGGGGAAAATATGGCGTGAGAAAGAAGGAAATAAATGCCATACGAGAAAGAGAAAGTGCAATAATGTTCTTTCTGTCTTCACTTTCTGTCGTCGTCGTCGTCGTCAAAGAGGAAGACGCCTGCGGTAAACAAAGACACATAGCGCGACTGTCAACCGGAGATACCGGGAACTGCCTTTTTGGGTCGCATCGTCGGCTGTCGTCGGCACCGTCGATCGACACCAGATATGATCAAAGATGATCGTCAAAGCGGTGTCAAAATGTGAGCGGTCCTTGTGATACGGCCTTGGTATTTCGATAACGATCTCTTCTGCTCTTTGAACAGCGACACTCTGCGCGGAGAACAACTGTGAATAAATTCATCATTCATGTGATCAACAAACAATCAAGCGTTCTGACATCTTCATCCATTAGATTCCTCTCCGTGGGACGCGGATTAGTCCGCCTTATATGCCTTCCCATCAGCTTCTGCAAGGTATAGATTGATTTTACAGCATTACCGTGTGAGGATGTGAAGAACTCCAAGAAATAAAGTCGCGATGAGGATCGGAGAGTGAGAAATATGTTCTCGGAGCGGAGGGAAGAAGTAAAAGGGCAAGGGACCGCGTTCATTTCCCTCCCCGCCCGACTTTGACTCTCTGATTGTTGTGCGAAGCTCTTCCTTGGGTCTCCACTTCTAGTTTCTTTTTTTCAGTGCTTAACTCTGGACCCTAGTATTAAGTATGAACAGTGAATAGAGCTTTATACATAGTAAATAAGCAAGGGATGAAGGCCTGAGCCATTTAATTGAGTTTGCGTCCAAACGGTAAGCATCTGTTCGGTTCAAAAATAGACGTCAGAAGACAGAATGGAAAAAAAGAATGATTGAACACGAGTCTACCGCTTAGTTTGTTCACTCATCTTTCTCTTCCTGTACTCTCTCAAATTTTATGAGATGATTCAATGCCCATTCTCAAAATTTCTATGTGAATTTCTCGCTCTTTCCTAGCTCTGAGAGCCTCTTATGATCCAAACTTCATATCCGTCCTCTCAAGCATCGCCACGCAACGTTCCTAGCCTTGATCAATGCCGTGACCTTCTTGGAAAGCATCACCTTCTCTTTTTCCGCCGCTGGATAGGCGTGGACTGAGGAATACATTACCGACAGGTTCGTTTTTTTCGCGGTTCCGCCGCTGCTTGAACGGAGAGGAACGACCTCGACAAGGGGCATTTGTGTGCCCTGTCGCTAAATAGTGTGTATCGAGAAGGTTGAACGGATTCTCTTGCGAAGTGCGATGGATCGGACATGAGGCTGAAGGAATGTCAGATTACAAGAATGCTATTAACATGTAGTAAACGTACCGTACTTTTTCCGAACCTAGCTGTACGATAGAGAGTCGGAGCGAAGCACGATGACCAGAAAGCGTACTTCATAGATAATAACAACCACTCCTCAGGTCCGTGCATTTCCCTCCCCCCAGGACTGTTTTAAGAAATTACGCCGCGATCGCAGAAGATCCGTCAAGGCGTCAAGATTACTAGGTCCAGCTGGCTGGTATTAATGTTCTCCATCACCGACGATCACCGCAAGTCATGAAACACGCGCGGTTGTGGGAGCGTGTACACCATGAGGTGGAACGATATTTTAAGACATACTATACTGGGATATGTGAAAGTGGACATAGCGTGGACTGTGTGAATTGCATGCGGACCTCGACACACCGAAAAATGATCCATAGGATACATAGGGAGCAGTGTTCGACGCCGGGATCACAGATATTGCTGCAAGAGGACCATTTTTCGATCGCGCGACCAGTCACGATGCAATCGATCAGATTTCCCGGGAGGGCATAAAGTGGCTCAGAAAGACAGAAATAGTAACAGCAAAAGATATTGCCAACAAAGATTGAGCGCTGAAAAGCCTGGTAGAGAGATAGAAGCCCCTCATCATGGCAGTGCAATACTCCATGTAGTATGTACTGATTTTAAGGTAGTGGCCGTTTTAAGCGCGCGATCGGCATCAGTATAGAAGGGAGCGTGGGAAATGATTAAATAAACCGGTATATAAGGGCCGAATTTTCCCCCCATCTTCTTCCTACGCCCAATCGACGCCCTTTTCAGGTCTACGTGTTCGCGATTCTGTGGAGGAAATTATCTCTGTCTGCTTCCCTTCTATTTGTTCATGCAGCAGAGGCGGGATACTGGGCCGGGTCTGGGGATTCTCGATCTGAAAGGAAATAATAGCAATACTCCCGTGACACCCCAAAGGACGGATTCGCGGCCATTGGGGGATGAACCAGCACCATCTAATTCTGCAGGAACAAGGCCCTCCTCGCGCTCTGAAAATGACCCCGCGAATCGGATAAATCACCCGGCGGGATATCCTATTTCAACGGGACCACAGGTACAACCGTACGGGGGAGCGTTGGGACAGTCACATTACCCTGCAATTCGTTTTGTAGATCAGTCTGGTGGTCCACAGGGGATGCAGGTGCGTTTCAATTTTCTGATGGCTTAAAATTTTTTCTGAAAGGGCTCTTTCATTGCCAGTCACGACCTATGATTCCTACATCTGTCATGGCTCCCCGCGTGCAGCCCCCCCAAAAACCTGCGCCAAAAACGTCGTCAAAATCAGAGAGTAACGGAGCATCGCGAGCGCCCTCGAGGACAAGGCCAGATCCCGTACCGAGCCCGTCAATATCCATGCACCCTTCACCTGTCGAAACGAGACGTGACCCTTTACCGGTATGTTACATACCTTTTCACCGTGCTATTACGTTTTCTCAAATTTTTCGTTAGCGCCAAGCACCTAACCCGCCTTTGAACTTCCAGTATGAGCACGGAGCGCCCGTACCAAGCCCATCGACTTCCATGCGTTCACCATCCGTGGAACCGAGGCAAAACTCCACGGCATGTCTTCCTACGTCGCCATGACGTGTTCTTACCTCTTTATACAGCGTCCAGGCGTTCCTAACACACCTTTGAGCTTTCAATATGATCTTCCTTCTTTCCGGCACACGCAATCTCAGCCTCAGCTCGCTCCAGCACCGCAGCGCCGACATAATGGTGATCACACTGCACCGCCGGATATGCCTTCGGCTCAGAGGCGACACTCGGACCAGAGCATGGCCTCCGTATCGTCTACCACCCCCACCTTGACTGTCGGACCCTCCCCAACTCTTTCCAATCCCTTTTCTTCCCTCGGTCCAGCTTCAGCCCCACCTTTCATCAGAGATCTTACTGGAAGCGTCCTCGGGCACATCCAGTCAAAGTTCGAAGAAGCTTGGACCGCCAACGTGGGCGCGTTCCAAGGCGAAGTGACAAAATTATTCAAGGAACTCGAACGTGCCCAAGAGACAATCGGCAGACTAAGGAAGGAGCGGGACGATGCCCGGGATACCGCTCATCACATAGCTATAGAAAATGAGCGGTTAATGGTCCAGTTGGACCACGCACAACGCACCAAGGGACCAGGACCGACAAGACTCGAGCCTCAGGTTCGGATAAAAGAGGAACAGAAATCGGCGCATCCTTCATCGTTCGATATGCGTAAGCCGCTTACCCCAGCCGAGGAATCCAAGCCCACGACGTTCCCTACCCCGACGATGATCCGCTTCTCGTCACCATCTGTCTCTTCGGCAGATGATGCAGCAGCGAGACGACGGGTGACTTCTCCCATCCTGTCTCGATCCATGGAGCAACAAAAACACACTCGGCGTTCGAGCATGGATAAAGAACCGGACAACAAGGGCATGGTTTCTGTGACTCTGAACCTCCCTAGGTTCTCCCAGCTCGACTTGCCGGCTATCAAAACCCATTCGCCTGCACCGGAGCGAACACCGTTCAAGAATAACCAGCCTCTTCCGTCACCTTATCAGAGTGGACCCTTGCCGTTCAAGGGTCAACCTCCTCATCCTCCTAATAGCAATCATATTCTTCCACAACTTCAGCCTCCCAGCCAACAACCCTCGCCTCACGATCGACCTGGTTCGTCTAATCAGATGTCGCGTCCGGGTACATCTCATCCCCAATATCGTACGGATACGTCGAGCCCTATCGCACCGCCATTCAAAGGTGCTCCTCCACCTCAATCGTCCTACAGATCTCAGCAATCGCCCGTGCCGGAACGTGGACCCCCTCCTTTCAAGAATCATCCACCGCCCAACCAGACCTTGCCTCCTCATCATCCTGGTACACCTAACCCACCGCCGAGTCACTCGTCGCCACCCCAACATCCAGTACGTCCTCATCCAGGTCCATCAAATCAACATCAGGGTCGTATTCACTCGACCCCAATGGCCCAGCATCAGCGTCGTCCAAGTGGATCTGATCATGCCTCTCCCCCTCACCAGCCTCCTCAGACATCGCTGCCCCAGCAACACCAGCCCCGTACTCATATGTCACCACCACCACCACCACCACCACCTATGCCCACCCAGGCCGCTCCACTCCGCCCATTCAAGCGTAACCGTGCGACGTACGAGAGCGATCACCCTGCTGAACCCCCTACATCCTCCCCCCCGGATGCTAAGGTAACCAAAACGGCTCATCAGACAGGACCACGGGAGCCTTCAGTCAAATCTGATACCGAGCCACTGCAGGAACCACAGGTGAACGGTGGCAGGGACAGCGACAAAGAGCAAAGACCTCCTGATCCCGAACCCGGTCCCTCGGTACCGGTGCCTGCACCTGCACCTGCACCACCGCCACCACCACTTACCCAAGGAAGAGCGCCGTTCAAAGCCTCCTCGAGCTCCAATGCTGCGCCGCTCGCGGCGAAGAAGAAACTCGGCATCAAACACCTCGATCTCTTGTACGAGACGAGGGATGACCAGATGGTTTGTCGGATGTGCATGTGAGCATCTTTTGATTTCTTTTTTTTTCTTTGCTTTTTTTTTTCACTCTCTCTTACTTAACCCATGTGTCTTTCCTTTCAGGAACTCGACGCAGACGCCTCGTCCGCCGCCTCGGAGGTTCCCGCTGAGCGCGCCGTGGGCAGACCTGCACCGGCATTATGAGGAAACGCATCCGGCAGAATGCCAGGATATGGAGAAGCTCAGCTCGGATTCCCTTGCGGAGATGTCGGTGCGGCAGAGGATGGGCGTGGGGAAGGGCGGAGTGAAGGGGCATTCCAAATCTTAGTTTTTTTTCTTCGCTGTGTTTTTGCTCTTTGTTTTCGTTGCTTCATCGCTGGTTTTTGTATATCATATCGTACTTTTGTATCTGTAGTCGTGCATATACGTGTATTCACTTACATGCGGATTTTCTGGAGTTAGTAGTGCTATAGAACTAAGTACAGTATGTAATGATTGCATCGGCGTTCGTCACGTAGAATAGGTAGGTTCATGGTGTAAGTACCGAGCATACTAATATTTGGACAGGTATAATGCGGGGTATCAGTGGGAGAAGGCCCTTTTCGTACCGCTTCACTGGATCAATCCTCATCCGAGATACTCTAATCAAATGCAGACCACATGAATTCCAATGCAGTCCAAGTTGTAGGACTGATTCTCCGGCATTCGGATACTGAGCTGTGCCACAGAGATAGAACTTCAGGGTCCATCTCATAAGATTCTGAAGTGATTGACACTTCTGTAACAAACATAGACTAGTCATGCTGCTTTACCAGTGATCCAAGTCACTGGAACTGACATACTCATCTCCTGCTCCTCTTCAGAGAAGATTCGTAGTGATTCTCTGGATATTCCCTGATTAATAATACCAGAAACATAAAGCTTCAAACACCCATGGAACTGCTACAACTATACATGGCGAACAGACTGGCCTCTTTATACCCATGAAGATCTTGTCCAATCTCATAGTCATCGGCGTTAATTACGACGGATGACTCTGACAGGTGCACCCATGCAGGACACGGCAGTCTCGGACGAAACGCTGACGTCATGAATACTAGAGGCATCCTCCATTTCCAGATTCTCGTGGATCAGCGTCTCAAGTTTCGGTGAACCGCTGAGGAAACTGTTGTTGCATAGATCGATAACACTCGAAAACATACGCCGTGGAAGTCTGATGTTGTGAAAGGCATGAGCAGGCAACGCTCACCGTGCATTGTCATTCAGGTCCGACCATGACAGGTAGCTGAGGGTGAGCCCCAAGGGCCCTAGCCATCTCATAAGCCGGGGGAAGGGTGGTTCAATAGGCCTCGAGTATCACCCAAGACACCATAGATTATCTGAAGTAACTTGATGCAGACAAGTTTAGATTTTGGCAGAAGGAGGAGCTTGTTACAGATTTATCTAGAGCTGAGGAAGATACGGCGAAAGATGGTCTCCCGGGAGTGCGACACAAAACCTCGACAGATAAGGGAACATGAAAGGAGCAATCAATAATTGTACTTCAGGTTGTCGCAGATGAGGTTGACCATTTCTTGAGGTAGTAAGGCTATTAAATCCCTCCGAGGCCGGGTTACCACGACTGGCCTAGACCTAGATACGAAATACATCAGAAGAGGGCAGAGATTCATGCGGTATGCTGGACTTGAGCTGCGGGTTGTTCGACGTCCTTTTGACATTACTGCAGAGCAGCATAGACAGCTGTGTCCACTGTGACAAAAGTATCTTTATCACGTAGACCTAGGATATGACTTGTGCACAATTAGAGATGGATGGTGGTAGGGAATAAGGCAGGAAGTCAACAAAGTCAAATACACGCATTTGCATTTTCCGGCTCAATTTGGGAGATTATAGTTTCGAATACTTACATATATTGACACTGACACATCGTGGATAAGCTACTGTATGTGTACTAATTTATCATCACCTGGACGACTACACTATCACATCAAAATTGGATCAGTTCAACTGGTCGTGCATTATATTGTTGTCCGTGATTTCGATAAGAGTATCTTTCCTCAATCTCTTTTCTCGCTTCTTAACCATACTCGACATCCTTCCTACTAACGCGACGGTCTGACTTTTGTCTGGATGCTATTCTGATAGACTCGAACCGGTCTGACGAGGTCGTATAGTTCCTGTTGACGGGATAAGGGACCCTTTTCAGTGCCAGGTTGGCTGGTATCGATCTTAGTGCGCCCTGGTAGCCTCACAACCTTCGGAACTTGGAGAAGAGATAAGTACTCCTCCAGCGGCACATTCAAGTTCTTGATGATTTGAGCACTGCGTACAGCTTGGTATGGCGTAATGATAACTGATGAACTATCGAACGTGCATGCAAAGAGAAAATACGATCAGAATCGCGGGTGGCCTAAAACTAAAACGGCGTGTTTGGAACTGTAGATCAATCAGGTAGTGGGTGCCATAGTCCATAGATGGATGAGAAAGGCCCGTGCCCGTTCCGGGAGCGGATCATGTGTGGCTAGACGGCCTCTCTTTGCGGCAGAAGGGTGAGCAAAGGGAAGATTTTCGCGTGGCAGAGTGGATGTTATTTGGCTGGAAGATAATTGTCGAGAATATGCCTCGGATATGCTCGATGAGAAGCTGACCATCTCTGCAATTGGTATACGTTCAAAATATTATTACACACGACTAGAGCTACCGTAATGTACAATAACTGCCCCATACACTTTTCACTGAGGCGTAATATACCAAAGGCATTCACGTTTATGGCTCCCACGAACGACCGGAGTCTGGAAATATATTTGATTCAGAAGGTGGGTGAGTACAACGTATGTCGTTTCCTTCTTCCAGTCATCCGACCTCAGAACACGAACAAGTGTCTCGGTAAAATCCTGCTATATATTGTTGAGATTTGGTTTTCACGGCTTTAATGTCATATTCTATTTATATATATTTACTGCTTACCTTATACTTCGACATTTTCGTACCTATCGGCTTGACTCGGGATCCCCTCTGTCCCTACTCTGTACGACGAAATATACCTTCCCTTCGCATCCAATACGCTCCTTCTGAATCACCAGCACCTAAATTCCAACATATATTCCCTTCGTCACCTTCTCCTCCTTCACAACCTGGTTATCCAGACACACTGCCAGAATTACATGAGAATCCATACCTGGTCGCATATCCTTCGATAATATAGATTGATAATGAGATAGATGTCTCCACCTTTCATCCGCAGCACGGAACATATCATCGAGGGAAGCATTAGAAGTTGGGTGTACGCTGCTGCGTATTCTGGAGTCTGGGCCCTGGCGGTCAAAATTGCGGGCGTAACAGCAGTCTGCGATGAATGTGATATTATGCCCCTTGGCGAGAGATATCTGTACAAAAAGACTGTTGAGCTCTCGGTCACTGATGTCGGGGATCCATTTTCCGCCGGCGTCTTGGGTATCACGATCGATGGGGCACAGAGCTTCGGTGGGACAGGAAACATTACTGCATCGAGAATCGAGAAAATGATCTGCACAGTAGTGGCAGGAGCCATGCCCACCGTAGTAGATGATAATATTGTCCCCTCGCTCAATTTCTTTGTTGTTGGTGAGATCATAGAATAGAGCATCCGATACACAACCACGTAAGGGACTGTACTCATACGCATCGATGCCGATGACAACAGCCCAAAATAGGGACGCGTATTAGTGCCTTTCTCTTGACTGTCGTAGTAGCATATTTGCAGTGCCTGTATAATACTCCTTTTTCAATGATATACCTTACACGATTCATCTCTCATTAACATGGACAAAACGGATCGAAATTCATTTGGGATTTTCGCAATGACAATTTATCAGGATTCAGGAAGCAAATTTGTACGTCAAGTTCTGTATCAACTATACCCTCTAAGAGGGAGGTGCACCTCCACCTCCACCACCACTAGAGCTATTCTCAACACCACCATCTTCGGTAAGGGTAGCTGCCGAAGAAACTGAATAGCTCGCTGAGACGTCGATACCCATAGATCCCCAGCTACAACCAACCATCATCAATGGCAAGAAGTAAACAAAAAGCGAAAACTCACGCCAAAAGACCATCAGAGATATCATCACCGAGGTAGACGTACTCGAGAACAGGGTCAACGCCGTTCGTGCCCTCGACCTCTCCCGCCAAAATCGAGTCGTTCTCGTTCAGAGTGAGCTGCTGTGTGTTAGCGGTATAGGGTGACGTCGCCTCGACGATGGTGATTAAACTCTGGTCGAAGAAGAGTTGGCCTGACCGACGAGAGTAGAGTCAGAGATACAGAATCTGAAAGGAAAAACTACTGAGGGACTTACCGACGTGGCGATCGCTGTCCGACTTGAAAGTACCATTATCAAAAATGGTTCCATCGTCGTGCGCGATGACATGGATATGATTTGCCCGAGATGTGTAATGGCCTGAAACACAACGGGGGTATTTCAATATGACAACACCCACGACAAGAACACTCCCGCCAACCTGGGAAAATAGTTTCAAACTGGGCATAACCGTCAGAGTTGGTCGGCTGGATGCCGCGAAGGAAAGTCTTGTCCTACATGTGACATCATCAGAAAACGAAGATCAATACAACCGAACCAAGCTTGCCAAGTTGGTCTCGTCCGCTTCATTACCGTTACCGCCGGCGATAACACCAGAGTAGACACCCGTCGCGTTACAGTGCCAAAAGTCGATGTAGACATCAGCGACGGGCTCGCAAGTGGTGTAGTCGATGAGCTCGACATCGACATAGGTGTATATGCCTTCTTGGCTTTCGGTGATGTCCGAACGGACGTACTCTCCGTCGACGTAGTACGGGCCTTGAGTGGTCTCAGAGACGAGCGTGCAAGACCCGGTTCCGTCGAAGGGGTCAGAATCAGCCGTCAGACCAGTCGCGTTCGATTGGTGGTCAGTGTCCAAGACGTCGTCCAAGTCGAGGCGCTTGTAGTTACGACCTAGAGGAAAAGAGAGATACATCAATCTCGCAAGGGAGCCAGAATAGTCACTTACTCGTAGGAAGACCTCTCTTGCGGCGAATGTCATCCGCGAGCGCCCTGCGACGAGCAGCAGACCTCTCGAGGTGTCCACGACTCTTGAGAACATCCCGGCAAGCGTTGAGGGAGCGGCGCGCGAAGTTCTGAAAGTCGGCGCGACGCGCGAGCTCACCCTGGCTCAGAGGAGCACTAGTAGGGTGGGCAGTAGCTGCCGTTACAGAGAGCAGAACCGCAGATGCAAGAGCAGAAAAGTTGACCATGGTTATTAGGAAGCAAGCCAATGAAAGGGGATCTTTTAGATGGCGAAAGGCTCCCTCAACTTTCCCCAATCTTTTATTCCTTTCCTTTGTAGAATCCGCAGCACTGGAAAGAAAGAAAAGAAAAATTTCTCGACGCGGTGCTGATGGAAAATATCCTCGGCTGATACAGGTTCGCTGTAGCAAGGAGAAATACCACAAGGGTGATTGGTTCCCCAAATCACCGCAGCAAGTGCATGTGCTGAACACACAATGACTCATGACAGCAATATAACTCCTTGAATACGTTCCAGAACTATCGTTTGAAGCAGGTATCTCCCCAAGCGCGTCAAAAATAGCGAGATCTTGGTGTCGGATAGCACCTCCTGAAAGAGTCGTCTGCTTTGCCCCACCTACGCGAAAAATCCATGTTTGGGATGAAAGTTTGGTATAAACCACCGCGAAAGCAGACCAAGAAGATTTTCAGACTCACTGAGACCACATGACGATTGTCAAGGAAAAATGCGACGCAACGCAAATGAGCCTCCACGCGGCGGAGCCACAACAGTCCAGCCATCAAAGCATTGTATTGTTGAAGAACATACCCCGTATTTGTGAGAGCAGTTGGCGAGGTGTAATGGCGGCCTCTGGAACCTCCAATGACCGAAACAAGGACATGTGTTTCTTTTTCATTGAGCAGAAACCCTGCACCTTCTGCGAAGGCTCGGAAGGAGTTTGCATGGGTACTTCAGTCAGCCAATTAGTGGATTGGTAACGGTCATTGTTTCAAAGAGAGGATTATCCGAAAGCTCCCACCATTCACAGACCCTATTCCTCGAAATTATTTCCTGAAAGCCTGAAGCGTGGGTCCGACCCCGGATAAAGTTCGCGGAGGATGGTTCTGATGATTTTGAGGACTTGGCAGGGTCATGGTATTTACATACTTGTTCCGAAAATCCGATGAAACGCATCTGAGAGAACATGGGGGTGAAGTCAGCATCAGTATTCTGCCCAAGCTTATGAAAGCACCTGAGGTCTAGTCAGGTTCAGAGATCAATACGACTCTCCATTGTTACGACGTCGTCTCTTACGTACAATCTCACAGAAAACTTTCCCATGATGAACTAGAAAGTTTCACGCCTTTTCAAACCAACACGACATCCTAACGGTTTTCTCAAGAAACCCTCTCACTTGCAGCTATAGCCAAAATCAGCATAGTATCAGCTCAACAAACATCAGCACATACGGGTTCTTCAGGTTTCTCCAATACAAAATGGAAGCGTTTCAGGATCGAGGCGATGATAATGTGAAGCTCAAGCGTTGCTAGATTACGCCCAACGCAGGCCCTGCGGACAACTCAATTGGCACAAGAATTCGACAGAGAAAAAATAAATGCACGTACTGACGTCCAACAAAGAAGGGGGTGAGCGTCTTCAAGATAGCCGCACTATCACATTCGAACCATGTCTCGGGTCTGTACTCCTTGACATTATCCCCACACTGTAGGATCATGGTGGATCGTATAACTAGGGACACTGATAATCGTATCCTCGGGAAAATACTTCCCCAAAATCGTCATATCGCCCTCGGGTACTACTCGGGGAAGTCCCAAGAATGCAGTCGGAGTCCCTCATTGATACATGAATGCAAGTAAGAGAGGTTTTTCACTTGCTCGGCCGTAGCGATATCAGAGTCAAGATTCTCGTCGAGCTCCCTGTGTAATTTTTCTTGTGCCTTCGGCGTGTGCGCAAGAAAGTAGATAATGGCACAGGACGAGCTGAGAAGGATGTTTGGTTAAATAGCAGCACCCATAATGGAGGTCGACATACTTGGATGTCGTATCGGATCCCGCGGCGAGAAGCGTCAATGCTTCCTCAGTGATCTCTTCCCGGCTCATTAGATTACCCTCAGATATGGCCAGTCAATAGTGTCCCAAATCATGAACAAAACACTACTCACCTGTTCATCCTTCCCGGCCTGCAACTTGCTCAGCAAGTCATTCTTGTCTGTAGGTACCAACAGCCTCTTCGAAACAGCAACAATAGCCATTCCCGCTAACGTGTTCTTGTCCTGTCCACCCTCCCTGAACAACGGCGTTCGCTTGAGCAGTGGCCTCCACCACCCCAGCAAAACTCCCATCGACACCGTGTAGTTCCCTCGCCCGTTCAAAATCTTCACGGCCGGTACTTCCTTCATAACATACTTCGCCCATACTTGACTGTAAGAAGCCATCATGGCACGCGGATCATCAGGCACTAGAGCTGAATCCTTAGCTGCCACGACCATTCCGAATCGCGCACCAAATACTAGATCACCAATGATGTCAAACGCGAGATAATTCATCCCTACAAAGTATGATGTAAGTGAAGACATTCGGACTGATAGAAATCATCACTTACATGGTAAACAGTCCAACCAAAGCCGCCCATCATGACCAGTCCACCCTTCATCTTCGCCCCAGACATGCATTCCATAGCATTGTCATACAGCTTGTCCCACTGTCCTAGCAGCCGACCAATATAACGATTTACATGAGGCTCAAGCTCTAACACACTCTTCTGCAAAAATACATGGGAAATGATCTTGCGTTTCCGAGAGTGGTTTACGCGATCACGAAACAAGCCTTGCGTTATAGAAACAAAGGCGTCACAGAACGATGACCTTAGTGTTCCATTTCCGTGGCCATAGATAAGAGGCTGAGTGTCTGCCCGAGCTACAGAAATGTGATTCGACGCTATCCGGACAAAATGTCAATGAAGCACGAATGAAAATCGAGAATTAAGTGACGAACCATATTTCATATGCAAATCATGGTTGTCTTCCGAACGGTGGCCCTTGTAAGACACACAGCCAAGCCATATGTTGGAAAACTTGGCGATAAGAGGGCCAGGATACGAGCGGAGGCCATGGGAGTCAATGAGATAGGGGATCAAGTGACCGAGGAGGACTGATACAAGAGTGATGGCGACGATCATTGGGATGTTTGCGTAAAGCGACTCTGGGATAAGAGACAGCATTTTGTTGGGAGACGAAGTTATCCAGCGAAGTCTTTTTATATCCCCACACCTCAAATGAACTCGTAATATCATCCTCGAAACCTCACAGTGACGCATCCGACGCAAACGAATGGATCGGACGCGGTAATGAGTATTGATGATACCCGGTGACATAGAAATGGTCTAAACGATGAAGCGCAGCCAAACATCTTGGTGAAGCTCGGTGGTATTGCCTTGCAAGGCTGGAGAAGAGTTATGTTAGTCCCGACTTATACAGAGAGAGAACATCTGACGCTGAACTTACCAATAGTCACAAAAAGAAATGTATTGATGCACGAGGTGATCCTACCGCGAGTTCTCGCAGAGTGTATATCGATACTACTACTACGACTTTCGCGATGGACGTGCGAGTTGATCATACCATAGCTTCTCAGAATTGGACGGTAAGTCTGTCGAATGTATTAGACCGTGGCGAACTTTACGATGCCAAGAGCGATGGAGATCCCTGACCGATGAATAAATCTTGATGGAGAGCCCGTTTGGCCGGGACTACCATGTCTTAGTCTCTTCGCTGGTCAATGGCTACTGGCAGAGGCGATAGGAAGTCAGCAACTCGGTCACTGTGCATCAGCTTTTGCTGTTTACTAACCTACTGTTCAGTTGCATGAGCCAACGAATCTTTCAGGACCTGGGGACTGATGAGTTATTCTGTCTTTGGAAACAATGGGTTATTCACAATTGTCAGTGTAGACGTAACAGATAAGACGTGATGTGATAGTCTTGTCCAACACCATGGACTTCCGAGGCCTTGTTTTGTAGCTATTTATGGACTGATCCGGTGCCATTCATGTGGATGGCAAAGACATCATAGATTGTTAGGCAAAAGAATGGCCCATTGGCATGTTGAGAAGCGGATTGAATACTTGACCCAAGCTGGAGAGGGACGTCAAAGACGGTGATGAAAGAAACAGAGAAAAGACAGACCGAAAGGTCCAATGTAAATGGCTCTTGTGTATGCTGACTGATACCTGCCAGTTTAGGATGTCGTATGCCTCTAGGCACGGATCTGATCGGTAATCCTCAAAAACTGCATAAATGTTCCAGAGCCGAGTAGACCCGTTAGCAGACCTCTAAATTCGACATGTCAACAAAACGAAGAGAGAAAACCTCATTGGGTGAGAAGATCGGAAGTAGGACTGTCCCAACCGCATCGATGTCTGACGCGAGACCCCAATCTTTCATCTAATATCCCGCAGGTACAATGAGAGTAGCGAGATCTGCGACTTGCAGTGATGTATACGCAGCAGAGAATCTCCATCTTATATCGTACTTTATCAAATCGGGGAGACAGTACATTCCTCATCTGTGGCGTGTCTGTCTTACGCTGCTAGAAAATGACATCATGGGTGACACCACGATAGCGGAAGACGTACAATATACAAAGCTCCTGCCCTGGCTCTCCATGTCCTCTCTGTCACCATCGCATGGGGGCAGAAAAGCACCGTAGTTATCGAACGCAGCCAATAAATGATTGGACACCTGACTGGCGTCAGAACGACCCTAGGACTCGATTAGGAGATGAGAAGTACGTGAAAGAGAACACATGCTCGGCTTCGACATTCAAGGATCATGGGATTTTGTTTGTATTCCAGTTCCTCAGGTCGTTGTCTCCCCAGGTGAACCTACATGCCGAATATCGAGTACGTGAGATTTGCAGTGGCGAAAGAAAAATGCTGTCGAAGGGGAGCTATGACAGATAATCAGCATTGGAGAAAGGAATGTACGATAAATCAGACATGCTTTCTCATCGCCAGGCTTATAGGACTGCCAGAATCTGTGGATCGAACGTATGCTGAATCATGCCATTCTCCATGTTGATTCGCCGACGCCATTGTCCCTGGATCAATGCACCCATCTTTTGAGCTTTTGAGCCACGAAGACTATGCGCTTCCAACTCTCTGTACCCATTACAGGGACTCCCTTCGGACTCGGCTGATATGTTCACTGTCTAATGACATGAGATGCGAATCCGTCTGAAAGTGAATCCAGCTCGACTAACAATAAGCTTCTACAAATCGGAATACCCAGGGAAGCCATCCGATGGTCTTGTAAGATGTGCCTTTCATTGAGGCTTCAGTTCAACGCGAAGAAAATTGTATCAGCACAGAGGGTAGAGTGGTGAGAAATGTGACACGCTGGCTCTAGCGGCGTCTCCCAGCGAAGAGTACGACAACAAGAGGGAGAATACTCTCTCCGTGGGGACCAAGCCTGACCTTCTTGGACTGGTGCTAGACAGACAAACGAAATGAGTTTTAGACGGAAAATAAAGCAATAAGTTTCGGCATTACGCACTCTGGTGTCCACAGAATCTTTCGCCCTCCCAGGCCCCGCACCACCACCAACGCGATCCCGCGCCATTTCTGCGACTTTCACACCTGGCCTTCTGTTAACATTGTGGTCAAAGGCATGCATTTCTACGGTGGAGCCCCGGCTTGATATTAAGAAAGGCGTGTCAGCAATATGCACACCGCCGCAAAGGAAAGGGCGCACGAATCCTGCCAGGCGAAGCGAAAAAAGGTCCCCGACATTTGCCAAGTCTTCCTGATGGGTGTAAAGACGGCTATATTGATACAGGACACGGACAGTGGAAGGAATAAGAATCGAGGTTGCTGAATTTCTAGCGGAGACGACGTCACTGATGGTGGTAGCGAAGAAAGAGAACGAGAGTGATGTGGCTGTGCAAATTAATATGAGCAAACAAACGCGTCGCGTCTGTGGCGCGCCAGCATGGACTTCCACTCGGTCTAAGTAGTTCATACCGACCCTCTCACGAAAGCCACCCACAGTTCTGTTTTGCCTAAGTTTCTGCACGATGGAATCATATAGTGGCACTGAACAATGGTTCCATCAGGGCAGAAACAAAATTCTCTCTGCCAAAATCTGACCCAGACGAAAATGAATCCGAGAAACTTTTTCAGCTCTGCGACTCAGTTACGACACATTTCCTTCAGTCTGAAATATTATTGGGGGTCAGGAGTGCGAAGAAGCGGAGTCTTTGTTAATATTCAAAGCCCAATTACAGGAATGATCTTGAAGGAAGCTAAAGACGGTCGAGCGCGAGCCAAGACAAAGAGTATTACTGTACTAGAACAATAATGGAACGCAGTTACTGAGAATATATATTATAATTTCACAGAGATAACATAATATACGTTGAAGCGTCATGAGAGTATCTCAGTCAGCTTTCGAAAGCTTCCTATGAATGTATGAACATGCTAACCGAGCAGAATAAGTGGTTGAAATATAATAACGAAACCATGAACATAACTCACCATGTGCCAAAGCCTGTGGCGGCCTCATTCCAGTATAATCACGGATGGGAGGAAAGTATTTGGATGGTATAGCAGACCAGAGAGCATGCCACAGGACCGATATATTCACTGGTTCAGGGAAGCTTCGATCTGTCTTGATAACGATGCCACTTCCATTGTCCCACATTTCATAAGGCTCCTCGACTGTGCTCAACATTAAGTACAGAGCCGTATGCCACCAAATAAAAATCCTACCAATAATCATAACCTGTTTGAAGACGGACAGGAATGTCGTCCGATCAATGGAACGAACGAATGGAATAGAATATTCCGCCATGTACCACTCGCCCCGAATTGATTTATCAAATTCGGGGCGGTAGGCTAGTTGCATTTTCTGGCGTTTATCCATGACAAACTCGAGGGTGTAAGCGTCGGAGATGACTTTGTTGGAAGACATTGTTAGTGAGAATGGTAGGGGGATAGAGAAATGGAGAACTCAGTACCTGCTTTTATACCCTGTTGGGGTGGCGTATAATTTTTGTTCGAGCAAGACATACAAATTGCCACGTTTGTTCGCCCGATAAGGTATAAACACATTCAATGTAGCACTCAATGTGGGGCAATTACCGAATCTGGAGAGAGTCAATGAGCTGTAAAGACAAGTAGTCATCAAATCTGTACACAGATATACCCACTATGGAGCGATATCCAGCCATGTCAACTCATACTGCGAGGCTGCGAACAAGATCCAGAAGACATTGCCTCCAAGGAACTCGTAATCCGCGAACAGGTCTTCTTTCTGATAGCATCTTTCCACTCGGCATTTATTTAAGTTGTAGCATACGAAAATCGCATCCATTGTCATAGATCCGATCACATTGTTCGATGGCTTATCCATTTCGGGACCTACAATCAGAGAACTTAATCTACAATTATAATGCGGAGCTGGACATATAAAACCAGACCTCCAGCATCCATAAACACCATCCAATATCCCTCATGGAATTCTCCACGTCTAAATCTCTCGGATCTCCTTCAGTCTCCCTCCTACCGAGGGGACTCCCTGCAGACACACCCGTCTCCATCCGCTCATGTCGCTGCGGCCTCAATTACCCAAACGGTTGCGAATGGCACATCTTTCACCCTGGAGGAAAGGTTCTCGTTATCCACCACAAAAAATCTTCCGAGGAACCTGCAGAGGCTCAACGCTCTCCTCCTAATTCGCCCTCCAATCTCACCTCGGTCTCGTTAACTGAGGGCCAGCTCAACTCTTTCGGGTTTGGTTACCACAAGGATGCTACGTTCACCCTCACGCAAAACTTGTCAAAGCAGACGGACTTGGATCCATGGGTACAGGTATTAAAAGACGGAAGAAACCAATGCTTGGGTTGTGATGTCGATATAGATCCAAGGTATTGGACCGAGCATCGGGAAGTCTGTCGTGGCATCGAAATGAGAGTCGTCGATGTCATAGCGGACGCTTGGGAAAAGGAAGCGAAGAACGGGTCCTTTGCGTCTCGTGCCCTCGGGATTTTCTCTCTACTCGTGTAACTTTGTGAATTTCGGTTCCAGTATAATTCGTACCGAGATTATATTCTATCTGCGAAACGTTCATCGAAGGCCGTATTGGGGATCAACCGTCCCTACTAGTGTGTGAGAAAATATACAAACAAGGGCGAGGCATTCACCTACTGTCAACATACGGAGATGTTCCGACGTTACAAATCGAAGCAGGGGTATACAACACACTGATCCTCTAGAATCGGATATCGACACGAGAGAAAAACGATCAGCACAAGTATGTGCACAACGTAAGTGCATAACCCAAATGTCCTCCAAGGACTGGCCTCCGATGGAGATTAAGGATAGGTCTTCAAGCTGTGGCAGAGAATAAGTGCTTTATTTTGGCCCAAGATTGGAGGAAAGCGGCATCTTGCGATCATCAGCAATTAGAGTCCGAGTAAAGCCTAGCGGCATAAAGAAGACGCTGTAAACGATCATGCCATTCATAGCGCCAACATATTCATGAAACAAAATTGCGAAACAAATCATCCTGCGACACTCTTTGCTGCAGGAAAAGGTCAAGAGCTTAGGGTTTAGAAAACCGGCATATGAAAGAAAACTGAAAAAATTGCCAGATCCATTCCTCGGCCTGAACAGCGGGCCCGGGACCAACCACACGTTGGCTTTTCATCCATCATCCATACTTATCTCTCTAATTCTTTCCTCGATAACCTCTTATTACATGATTATGAAGAAGTGAGATTTAGTGAGTTCACATATCTAATCTAGCCCATCGATATGAACATAATGGACTACATAGAGCTGCATGGTAAAGCGCTGGGGGTAATGGGTAACCATTTTTTGGTGTATTCCAATCTTCCCCAGAATAATGCTATGTCCAACCTCTCATTTTGAGGATACATTGTGGCGAAACGTGACTGGTCGAGAACGTCCGGAAATTAAACTTTCTGGCCACTTTAGACAATTGTAAATCATTGCACAGATGTACTTCATGCCGGGGCTGATTACTTTCGTAAGAATTTATCCTCTAAATCTGTCGAATCTTCCATTTGATGCTGTTCTAATTACGTATTTGGGACTCTACCAACCACGGCATGTCATCTCTTCCCCAAGAGCTTGTATATAGGTTCATCGACGAAGCAAGCGACGATATATTTGATCGCAGCTCCTCAGACCTACTCACTAGTGTCTTGTGAAGTTTTTCCCTGCACACGTATCTACCTATTTCAAACTGTAGATGTCAGTACCATTGTCGACTGCCAGAAATTTTACCATCTATGTGTCTCTTCCTCATACCTTGTTAATTAGGTCAAGGAACTAGCAATCTGCACTCGCTACAGCGGTAAATGCATTCGTTCTGGATCACTTATTTTTCTCTGCCTTGATTCTCATGCTTCTCGTGGCCCGTTGACACGTTGGAACGATTGATAATTGTCAAGTATGACTGGAGAAATCCAAGCGACTCATTAACGGAGGCGCTCTTCTTGCACTCCTTCTGTTCCGAAATCCTCGCATTGAACATTTTCCCCAATACCAACGATATCTACGCAGCATTGAAATGGATCAAAAGAATTACAGCCGTGAATTAAGGGGATCACAGGTGCATCTCAACCCCCTGCTCCGAGTCCGCCCATGAATCCACCATCAGGACTCAGATGTATTCCTTCTCGGTCAATGGTCTGCAGAGTCTCTCGGTCTCTATCTAACATCAGTCTATATCTGATTTCGAAAGCGTTTTTGTACCTTTCACTTCGGTCCCTAAGGCATCTCAATACTGTGTATGATGGATTGAACATCGGTGAGTCAAACTTTCTCCTCACGTTCATCAATCCGAAAATAACTAATTGGTAGTGGGGTCACATTCTTAACATAAGTCATTCCAACCTAGTCATCGCAGAAAGAAAATAGATTCAAGCCCCCCAACAACCTGTCGACGCAAACATTAATAAATTACAGAGGCTGACTGTTCCCTTTCGCCTTAATCCCATTGCTACGACTCTTTGGATACCAACTGTATGCATCTTCACATATTCAGTCCTCAGTCCTCACTCAGGCCTAAGTACTGCCGGACGGCATAACTGGAAAGTGGACGATCGTTCATTTTCAACTCTTACTACGTTCAACAACCGACCTAAGCAGTTCTGTGGGAGGCATCACCGTCTTCCAGCTCTTTCCAATGTTCATTATTGTCTTCATTCATTTTCAGCGCCAACGGCGAGCAGCTACATCCATGCCGGCCACCACAACATCCATTCTTGCATATACATTGTGCACAAAAAACATCCCGCTCACCGCCTTTATCCTCGTCACTCCAGTTTTGCTATATACAAGACTATTTTGTCGTTACGCCATAGGCAAGCTCGCTCTCCGTGGACACTGAAACTGGGACTCACTCTGGACGTCGAGTTGGACGTATGTCACCACCTTTACTCTGGAAGTCACACTTAATGATCCTCCCTACTGACAACTAGAGTTAGACAAAAAACCGGGTGAAAAGATCAAGCCAGAAGCAGGCGACAGAATCCGATCCCTACATCGATGTCTCATAACTTCTGTCGGCTCTGCCGCGTCCATCTTTCTTCCTCTAAATATCGAATATGATTCAACCAAGGACTCTGAACTCTCTACAGTACACGACACTGAGAAGGATATCGTAAACCTTGTGCGACCTTCGCCAAATGCCCGTCAAGTTTGCTCTTATATGGTTCGAACCTGGCTTGGATGTGGGGAAGTATGAAAAAGGATAGCATTTTCCAGACAGCGCTAATACGGCGTATGCTGTGACCTCCGAGCTTCTCCCTTTACCACCACCGTCCTTCAGTTCTATTCTTTGACGTGTTTTTCTTTATTCACCCTTGAGTGACCATGTTGCCTTGGGACTTTGCCTGTGGTAGCAGTATTCCTTCGCCGCATGGAGGAGAGACGGATAATCTTCATCGGAATTGGTGCAGTAATTTTGAGGCAGTGGCGACTTGCACTATAGGATGGCCCTAGCATACCACAATCTCGCTGAAGAATGTTACCCTCAAGACTGGACTATTACTAATGGATGCCAAGAAGGATGAGCTAGTACTAGTGACCGCTGGAATAATTGGACGAGAAAGGTGTGTGCTTCTTCTGTTGGGTTGTTTGATTGTTCTGAGGTTCTTGCTCTGGCAAAAAAGGTCCTTTTGGATAAAATCCCGAAGATTTCTACCGCCATCATTGTCGATGCGTCTTCCTCGACTCGGCCTTCAATTAGGGCATAACAGTGAAGCGCAAGAATGTGATGGCACTGCCTATTTCGTTGAATGAATAATCGCCATGTGATATGGACGCGAAAGGTGCGCTCCCCCAGGGCTGGTGATAGCATCGTAAGCGTCTCTCTGTAAGCGTCTTCCTTGCTTTAATTAACTCGTTTCTTCAGTTATGGTCTAAAAGGATTGGTTAACAACGATGATCGAATCTCGGACGCAGCTTAGCGAGCAACTGGGACCTTTGAACACCTCTCTGTCTCGATTTGGAGGACGGGAACATAATATCGAGCACATACAACTGCCAGAGGAACAATCCCTCTCACGGCATGTCCGATTCCAAGCTCATCAGTTGGTTGTTGAAGTGACCAACCCTTTGGCTCACTTTGAAGCCAGGAGGATGATATCCATTCAGGTGTTGTTGGAATCTGTGAGAGAATTTGAGCAATCCAGCAATCCAGCATGCTAAGGAAAGAATCTGAGGGAAATTGAAGGAATTAGGTAGAAATTGCTAGACAAGGTGTAGTCTAGTATAAATATGAGAAGTCAATGGGGAAACTCCTCATGAGTTTGTAGCCCAAAGACTGAAGGTCTTACAAGCATGTACTCTGGATGAAGTCCAAATCTCAACAGGTGTACCTCATGCTCTCTTGGCCAGCTCTTTGGAATGAACCAGATAATTGTTGACAGGAGGAATCTGGCATTCCTTTCCAAGGATAGATCACTGATTACAGAAGTCACCACTGATGTTATGGAGAGCAAACATCACTTTCGATGGGAGTACTGTCTGATACTGCTTGTGGTCTGCATAGTTGAAGATTTGATGGGCGGATAGTGCCGTCCGGAGAATGGTAGTTGTGATTTGGGTAGGAAGATGAGTCACTTCAGGAAACATCACATGTATTCATCAGTCAGGCTATCTTTGATTCATACACTGTTTCTTGTTCAGGATCTGAGTGATCTTGCATTTCGGCACGTACATGGACATCGCTCTCCTCGCAAGAACCACACATGATTTAATTGAACCCAAAGCAGATCCCCAACTGTGCATGTTCATGTCTGATATCAGTTTTGCAGTAGCATGTAGGAATAGTACAATACCTGAGGCCTCAGTCCTGAATGTTCAATAACATCTCCACCAAAAAATCCAAAGGAGTTCGAGACAGGACAAAGAACCGTCTGGGAATTGAATCCATGGCAAGAAAGCTCACAAGCTATTACACCATATTGATCCATGGAGAATGGAAATACAAGGCTTACAGTATCTATCATCTATCATTGGGTCCTAAGCACACTTACCCTCACTGTTGGCATCTAAAATATGATGTGAGTAGGAGTTGGACCACCACTTCATTGACTTCTATCAATAATCACAGAAGATTACATTCATCATTCCCAGATCAAGGATGTGTGCCTTTCAACAAGAGCACTAGAATAAAAAGTCCCCAATCATTCAGTTAAAGAAAATGAGGATGTTCTTGTGTGGGCTACACACCTACCTTTTCCACAGGAACAAGATCTCATATATTAATGGAAGGTCGTACAATCCCTGCCTCAGAATATGCTTGCTCGAACTATTGGAGTACCAATGCTACTGCCACTACAATAATTGTTAATTATAGAGGAAGTCCCAGCGAAATAAAGTCCTATTTGCTCCATTTCTCTAGGCTGTCCAGAGCAGTTTCCGTAGCAGTATACAATGCCTAGGAAACATGATAGCAGTCGGCCAGCACGGTTAAATCAGAACGAAGATATTGGTGTCTCTCGAAGCCTAGTCTAGAGATTGAGTAGATGTTAGTCAGAATGAATAGTTTCTCAATCGAAGACGGAATACCCTGTGTTAATACCTCCGCCTTATTGAGCATGCGGTGTTGACGACTCGGAGATGATAAGAAAATGTCTTGGATCAAAGATACATGATAAAAAACCAAAGATACTGTCCTTCTGCAGCTTAGGATCTTTAGATTACTATAAGCACCGTAAGTCCTGATTAGCTCTGAGCTCGTTAGAAGAGAAATAGAGAGAAGTTGAACAGAACATGCCTGGACTGCATGAGGAACACTGAGAAGCGCGCCGAAGCCTAAGAAGTGTGAGGTGCCTTACATAGGTATCAGCGTAAGTAGCGAATGAAGATAGTTAGCAGATAAACAAAATATGGTTGAAGCACGGATCCGGCCACGGCACCCGGCCTTACCCGGTCCGCACAATGTCAGGTGATAGACGCGTCGGATGAGGCTTTGTGACGTTAGCGATGATAGTCAGTAGCGGCACACAAGGACGAATCAAGGACCGGGTTGAAGACACCTCGATTCGGGGGGGAAAAGGTAAGAAAGACTGGCGTAATTCTAGGCACGACCAAGTATTTATACGTAGATAAGAGTGGAGTGCATAGATAAGCATAGTTCAAATAAAGTCCGGGTTTATGTTACGAAAAAGGAAGTAGAACGGGCCTGTCCGTTACATACGCCCTCCGATGCCTTGTGATCAAGGCATCCCTTCTAATAAC